AGTTTGAATTAATTTGTAATTGGAGGTTTACTCTAGGGATTTAAATGAGTAAAGATTTAAGGTGAAATAACCTTTAGTTATTTGATATTTTAATGTTCATTTATCCCGACTATTCACTACAAGTATAATTCAATTTTTTTTATATATCAAGAAAAATTATATATATAATTATTAGTATTAAATATTTCTTTGCATATTATGTCATTACTGATATTTATTGAATAATTGTTCTCACTCCTTATGTTTCTTGTGTAATATATGTAATTAATTTATAAAAATAAATAAATAATATAAATGGACGTTCCAGCAATTCCAACTCCTTTCCCTTCAGTAATCTCTGCAGTTTTTTCTGGCACAACATGGAGTGTTGAGGCTCTAGCCAACTCAGTAGTTTTTTCTAGCACAACATGGAGTGTTGAGGCTCTAGCCAACTCAGTTACTTTCAATGGATTAGCTGTGTCTTCATTCACCTTTTCTCCAAAACAAGAAATTCCAAATGTGATAGATGGATCCATAGTTATTACTTTTTATTTACCTCCTGCAAATCATGTGAATCCTATTGTAAATTTATTTCAACCACCTATGTAAATTTTATAGTAAAAAAACAACTATGATATGTAAATATGTACATATTGTAAATAATTTTAGAATAATATGTAATGTAAAAATTAAAATCGTACGTGAGATATAAGAAGTTATAATTAGGTACTAGTCTAATATGTAAATAATGTAATATATATGAAAAAAATAAGTAACACGTAGTGGTAAATATTTTTAGTTTGTTATTATGTATAACATTATTAATAATATACATGTGTTTTCAATCTATAAATTATATATATATATATATATATACATGTATAATATTAGGATTAATATTTATACTATTAGACGTTACATATTTAGACTAATATTAATACAACTAGACGTTACATGTTGCAATTCTAATTAGTGGTCTTGTTTGTTTTCCTATTGCTTGTTTATAATGTCTTTTTTAAGAGTCTGAAAAAATTCTATAGTTGACTTGTTTAGTTGCCTCTTAGTCAACTAGACATAATCATTAGTACAAACTAACTATCTTTCAACCATGTCTTATTAGTTTGTCTTGATAAAATGGTTGTCTTTCAAGCATCCAGGCAGTTGGAATTTTGTACTCTTGATATGAACACATTACAGAACTTCGCAACTTGATTAACCTCTAAATGCTGAATGGACACCTATCACAATGAGAGAAGTGATAGCTTGGCATATTTAACATGAATAATTAAATACAGGAGGTGGAGGGTACCTATGGTCTACACAAAAAATACATGATATTGATCAATTTCTTCTGGGTCATCCTTGAAGGAGGACATATCTTTTTCTGACAGTTTAAGTTCACGACAGTCAACTGCAGCTTCACGCATGGCATCAGCTTTCCCCCCAGGCCAATTAAAATGCTTCAAGATTGCATACACATCAGCCTGTAGAAAACATAATATATAGCTAATAACTATTAACTTCAGTTCTAGTTTTCTACTACTTGATTGAGACATAAACATTGTTGTTTGGTAACCATAATGTAATTATGAATCTTTTACTGAGAAAACTTATATAGATTTATGCTGTCAAACACTCAAACAACAAAATCAGGTAGCTCAACTGTTCACTTAACCAGCTGAGCGGATTGGAGGCAGAGAGTCATATTGATTCAAGGCGCTCAGCCCTTTCCAGGGGCTAAGCCATTTTGTACCTTGCTGAATTAATTGTTTAAAGTTGATTTAACAGTGATCTTGCTGTTTCTTATTTTTATTTGAACATATTGCAGATGGGAAAGACAAGAGCTACCCATGAAGTACCTGCTAGCAAAAAACGAAAGGGGGCCGTTTCCTCAAATCCCCCTCCGCATGATTCTGACAATGAGGAACCTACCCCTCCACCTGTAGCTCCAATCCGTTTGGACAGACAGAGATTTATGACTAAATCGAAGCAACAACGGTATACAGAATTGGAGTCTCGACAAATAATTGCTTAAATGAGGGTAGAGCTAGAAGCAGGAGAGTATACAGAATTTCAAGGAGAGCTGATTAGAAGGAAATGGAAAAAATTGGCCACTCCGGAGAAGAAATATAATGAAGACATCATTAAGGAGTTCAATGCCAATGCTTACCCGCTCCAGAGGACTGATAAGACCAGAAATAGCTGGGTGAGAGGAGCTATGGTCAGCTACTCCAGGGATGCCATTAATGAGTACCTGGGTAACCCTTATAGTCTGGGAGGAGATGGTCTTGATGAGTATGGCCGCATAAAGAAGGCCCGAGCGTTCAATGCTGATAAGATGGACAAGCTTTTATGTCTACCAGGATGCACTTACACAGTAGGAGTGACGGGGAACCCGGATTCATTTCTGAGGAAGAATCTGACCACCACTGCACGCATTTGGCAGAACTTCCTATACTGTAATGTGTATTGCCTTACACACATCTCTGATTTAAACATGCCCCGGGCAACTCTCCTTTACTCCGTTTTACGAAAGAATGGTATGGACATAACTTCCATCATTTCAAATGAAATACACAAGATTGTCCTTTCTACTCCTTCTCTGACAGGTGTTTCTAAACCCCTGGGATTTCCAGGTTTGATTACAGGGTTGTGTCTATTCAGTGGCTCTCGTCTTCCGGGTAATCTGAACAAATCTCTCCGACCTCCCATTAATGCTGCATACATCAAGATTCATTGTAAAAGTGAGCAGCAAGGTAATGCCTCACAGCCTAGACCTCAGAGGCAATGGCAAGGATCTTCCTCCTCTCAAGTACTTGGTCAAGAGTTCATGGCTGCTCATTTTCACCATATTGAGCAAAAAAATTTGGAAAATCATCTGGCGCTGATGTCTCTCAACACCAACATGCTCATCAGCAGCAGTTTCATGGAGGTCCTCCATTCCAATGGCCATCCCCAGAGACTTTCCAACAACAATTCTACTGGCTTGGGGACAGTCCACACTTTGAGGGAGGTGAGGAGGAGGAGCAGCCACAACAGGAGGAGCAGCCGAAGCAAGAAGGTGGAGCTGAAGGAGAAGATGAAGGAGACGATGACGATGAGGAAGACACATGAGGGTTCTTTAGCAGTTTATTTTGATATTTTACAGTAATTTTAGCAGTCGTTTCATTTATTGTCAGTACTTTGAGTTGCAGTCTATTTTGGGTTACGTTAATTGCTTGGACTTTATGTTTTTTTTTTTTGCTTTAGTTTGATGACTCTCCACTTGGTAAGTACTTTTGAACAGTTTCAGTTAGTATGATTGCCTTGTGTTGCTTTAATTTCATGTTCAATCTTTAAGTCCATGTTTGTCTGTTAGTTACATCTTTTTTGGACAACTGTATTATTAATGTATATAAAAAAAACAAACAAACAAACACAAAATTCTTTTTGGGAACTCAACTGACAAATTTTTCTGGAAGGAGCAATTTCATGATTCAAGTTTTCAATGAACAGTGTTTTCTAATATGGAAATCTACATTGTTGTGCAAGTGGTTGTACATTTTTGACTTTAATTGTGTGTTTCAAGTATGTTCAAGTGAAATTAAAATGAGTCTGAAGTTGTTGATGTCTAGGGCACTTAACCAAACCGTGGGAGTGAGTGGGCCAAACAGTTAAAATTCAATCTTTGAGAGTCATCACTGATTCATGCGATCAGTTTTGTTTGAGTCTCTCATGAGTTATAGTTAAGCTATGCATGGAATTTACTAAGGAAGTTGTTTTATTTAGCTAGTAGCCAAAAACCCAACCCATGAATTACATTGTCCCTGGAACAGACAAATATGACCCTAAACAGAACCCCTAAGTTTACAAAGAAAAACCATGATTGTCCTTAGCCTTTTTGGTAAGAGACATTCTCATGAAACAAGTGGGTTTGAACCAAGTTGGGGGTAGCTTGTATGGAGAGATCAAGAAGGTTGGAGCTGAATTGTACAGGCAAAGTGTGTTCCTGTGTATATCTATTACTCTAAAAAAAATCTATTTAGAGTTAATTTTAAATCAAGGTTCCTTGTTACCATTTCATCAATTTGTGTATAGTCTGAAAGAGAAGGAACTAGTAAATTCAATCAAAAGAGGGATGAGACATAAAGAGTCAAGAGAATTCAAGCTGGTGGGAGAATTTGGTATCAACCCATATGAGTGAGAATGTCTCTTGTCAAACAGGCCTTTAGATTCCCAAAGAAAAACCAAATCTCTAATAGCCAGGCCACATTACAACCCTCTTAAGTCCTTAGTGATCCATGCTTATTTTTAACAACAGACTTGTGGGAGACAGGTAACAAATCAGACTGAGCATGTTTTGGTGCATGAAAAGAGAGAAAAACTCACCCTTCACAACATACTAAAGAGAGATACACATTGGTGAGGAAATTTTAGTGCTCTTGACTGAAAACAATGGAAGATGAGTGGATGTTTCCCTTGAGTACGCTTGATGTTCATAAATTTTGTCATTATGTGGGCACCATTTGTAGTAGCATGTACTCACTGGATTTTTCCAACAAGTTCATTGGACTCTTTGAAATCATGTAAGTGCATTAACATATTTTTTGGGTGAAACTTTTAGTATTCACTGGATAGATAAGTTAGTATATTATACTCTCTATTAAGACCTTTTGTTTGAGGACAAAAAAATTTCCAAGTTGGGGGTAGCTATGAGGGGCTGAGCCATTGGGTCCTGGAGCAGAAGTTCTTTGATTCCAAATATAGCTAAGTTTGACCCCAAATTCCCTGGGATTCTTTTTCTAAACTTATCTACAACAAGCATACATTAAACATAAAAGGAAAATGCACAACATGAACCTAACATAAGAACAATTTTTAACCTAAGTATTAGATCCTAAACTTACTCTCTAAAACATCAACACACAACTGAAGCTAAGCATGTAAATACTAAATAACCAAAACCAATTTCAAAACATGTTGGCTGGGTTGCCTCCCAGAAAGCGCTTCTTTATTATCATTAGCTTGACACTCCTATTTGCTCATGGCTCCTTCAAATGTGTGCTGGTAGTGAATCTCTCAACCTCACCACCCAAATAATGCTTGAGCCTCTGGCCATTAACTAACCACGTCCTTCCAGAGGCAGGATCTTCAAGTTCAATGGCTCTATAGGATCTGACAGATTTAATTGAGAAAGGACCTGACCATTTAGATTTGAGTTTTCCTGGGAAAAGTCTCAACATGGAATTGAATAGAAACACCTGTTGGCCAGGTTGGAAGTTCCTGTTCAGAATTTTCTTGTCATGGTATATCTTGGCTTTGTGCTTGTAAGACTTAGAAGACTCATAAGCTTGCAATCTCATTTCTTCCAATTCATGCAATTGAAGCTTTCTTTTCTCCCATGCTGCCTTCAAATCATAATTTAAGGCCTTCAAAGCCTAGAATGCTTTGTGTTCCAATTCAACTGGCAGGTGACAAGCTTTACCATAGACAAGCTGAAATGGTGAGAACCCAATAGGAGACTTGAATGCAGTCCTATAGGCCCATAGTGTGTCATCTAACTTCAAAGCCCAATCCTTCTTAGAACTGGCCACTGTCTTCTCTAGAATCCTCTTCAACTCTCTGTTGGATACCTCAGTCTGCCCATTGGTTTGAGGATGATACGGTGTGGCGACCTTGTGCCTGACATTGTAGTGCTCCAGAACTTTTTGCAATTGAGCATTGCAAAAGTGAGATCCACCATCACTAATTAGTACCCTTGGTGATCCAAACCTGCAAAAAATATTTTTCTTCAAAAATTTTATGACAGTTCTAGCATCAGCTTTCTGCACAGCACTAGCCTCCACCCATTTTGAAACATAATCAACTACCACAAGGATATACTCATTCCCAAAAGATGATGGAAAAGGCCCAATGAAATCAATTCCCCAACAGTCAAAAACTTCCACTTCTAAGATGTTTTGCAGGGGTAACTCATGTCTCTTGGAAACTGTCCCTGTTCTTTGACACTTATCACAGCTCTTGCAATGTTCATATGCATCTTTGAACAAGGTTGGCCAATAAAATCCAGATTGGAGAATCTTTGCTGCTGTTCTTTCACCATTGTAATGTACACCATAGGGCGAGTTATGACAATGCCAGAGAATATCTCTAATCTCAGCCCCATAGACACATCTCCTTAGCAAACCATCAGCACCTATCTTGAATAGATACGGATCATCCCAGACATAGTAGTTAGAATCTCTAAAGAACTTCTTCTTTTGTTGCCAGTTGTACTCTTCCGGAATAACCCCTTCTGCTTTGTAATTTTCCATATCAGCAAACTAGGGTCTTTCACTTACAGTAAACAACTTTTCATCTGGAAATTCTTCTAAGATTTCCTCTTCTTGACTGGTCACCTCCTCATTGACAAGTCTTGATAGGTGATCAGCAACATGGTTCTCACACCCCTTCTTATCCTTGATTTCTAAATCAAACTCTTGTAGCAGAAGAATCCACCGGATCAATCTTGGCTTTGAATCTGCCTTTGTCAACAAATACTTGATAGCAGCATGGTCAGTATAAACAGTGATCTTTGAACCCACAAGGTAAGAACGAAATTTTTCTAATGCATACACTATGGCAAGTAACTCCTTTTCAGTTGTTTCATAGTTAATTTGATTTTCATTCAGCACCTTACTTGCATAGTGAATAACATGAAAAATTTTATCCTTCCTTTGGCCCAAAGCAGCTCCTATAGCATAATCACTTGCATCACACATTAGTTCAAAATCAAGTTTCCAATCAGGAGCAGTGATTATAGGAGCTAAAACAAGTTTGCTTTTTAACAATTCAAAAGCTTGTAAACAATCATGACCAAAATCAAACTTGTTATTTTTAAGAAGAAGGTTACATAGAGGCTTAACTATCTTGGAGAAATCTTTGATGAATCTTTTGTAGAATCCTGCATGCCCCAAGAAGCTTCTAATCCCATTCACATTGATTGGTGGTGGCAACTTTGAGATGATATCAATCTTGGCTGGATCTACCTCTATGCCCTTTTGAGAGACTTTGTGGCCAAGAACAATGCCCTCTCTAACCATGAAGTGACATTTCTCCCAGTTCAGCACCAGATTAGTCTCTACACACCGTTTGAGAACAATGTTGAGATTATTAAGGAAAACTTCAAAGGACGAGCCGAACACGGAGAAATCATCCATGAAGATTTCTATGCATTGCTCCACCAGATCAGAGAAGATTGCAAACATGCAACGCTGAAAGGTAGCTGGTGCATTACACAATCCAAATGGCATCTTCCTGTATGCAAAATACACCAAAGGGACAAGTAAAAGCTGTCTTCTCTTGGTCTTTCGAATCCACAACAATCTGATTGTAACCTGAGTAACCATCCAGAAAATAATAGTAAGCTTGCCCTGCTAACCTTTCAAGCATTTGATCCATGAAAGGAAATGGGTAGTGATCTTTTCTTGTGTTTGGTTCAACTTCCTGTAGTATATACACATCCTCTACCCAGTCACAGTACGAGTGGGAATCCATTCATTCTTCTCATTATAAACCACAGTCATACCTCCTTTCTTAGGCACAACTTGAACAGGGCTAACCCAAGCACTGTTAGAAATAGGATAAATCATACCAGCCTCAAGAAACTTTGTCACTTCTTTTCTCACCACCTCTTTCATTGTTGGATTCAAGCGTCTCTGAGGTTGAGCTACTGGTTTATAATCCTGCTCCATATGAATAGTGTGCATACAATAAGAAGGGCTAATCCGCCTCAAATCAGATAGGGTCCAACCAATAGCACCTTCACTGGCTTTTATAACTTGAATCAATCTATCCTCTTGCTCTTTTGAAAGCTGGCTACTGATTATGATTGGTTTCCCACCATTTGCTTCTAAGAAGACATACTTTAATTGTGGTGGAAATTGTTTCAACTCTAGCTTCACTATTTGATCTTTTTCTTCCTTCTTCAATTCTTCCTTTGACTGAACATTGGTTGATGAGCTTTCACCTTTGTTCAATGCATCAATCACATCCTGGACTTCCGTATCTATAACTTTATCCAACTCTTCATCAAACATGGACAAAGCCTTCTCCAATGGTGATGAATTCTTGAAATTGCTTTGAGTTTCCAAATACAAATCATCTAACACATCAATTCTGAAACAATCCTTATTGCCTTTGGGAAACTTCATTGCTTCAAAAACATTGAAATTCACCTCTTCATCTTGAACTCTCACCTTCAGCTTTCCATCATCCAAGTCAATAATAACTCTAGCTGTCTTCATGAAGAGTCTGCCCAGAATCAATGGAACCTCCAAATCTTCTTCCATGTCCATGACCACAAAATCAACTGGAAACATGAACTTGTCAACTTTCACTATCATATCTTCCACTATGCCATGTGGAAGCTTAATGGATCTGTCTGCCAATTGTAAGGTCATTCTTGTAGGTCTCACTTCCACTTCTCCTATCTTCTTCAACATGGATAAAGGCATCAAGTTAATACTAGCTCCAAGGTCTAAGAGTGCCTTACCCACTGATAAATTACCAATTGATACAGGGAGAGGGAAACTGCCTGGATCTCTGGACTTCAGAGGTAAAGACTTCTGTATAATGGCACTGCATCCTGCCTCAAGCTCCATAGTCTCTTCTTCAAGAATTCTTCTCTTCTTAGTTAAAAATTCCTTCATGAACCTAGCATAAGTGGGCATTTGCTCCATGGCTTCAGTGAAAGGAATATTAATCTGGAGCTTCTTAATGATATCCATAAATCTCAGGAATTGCCTTTCTTTTTCTTTCTTGGAAGGAGCATAAGGGTAAGGTAGGTTTTTTACAGGAACAGTAGAATTGACTTCCTTGCCCTTCTTTCTATTCTTCTGCTTCTCAACTCCATTTTTCTCTCTTATTTTCTCACTATCTACATTCTCACTTTTATTGTTTTCTCCCTCGTTCTTCTCACTCTCTTCCTTAACCTCCTTCAGTTCACTCTTTTCTTCCTTATTATTTTTCTCATTGTTCTCACTCACCCCAACATCTCCACCAACTACCTTCCCACTTCTTCTTGTTATAGCTATCACTTTCTTCCTCAACCTCCTTTAATTCACTATTTTCTCCCTTATTCTCAGCACCTTCATTGTTCTCACTCACTCCAACATCTGCACCAACTACCTTCCCACTTCTTGTTGTTATAGCTTTACAATGCTCCTTGGGGTTGGTCTTGGTATTGGTTGAAAATGGGCCTCCAGACATGTCAGCTAATTGTTTAGCTAGCTGACCCACCTGCACCTCTAAATTCTTGATGGATGCCTCTGTATTCTTCTGGTTGTTCATAGATACCTGCATGAACTGGTTCAGAGTATCCTCCAATTTGTTGGTTCTTTCATGCATAGAAGGATAAGCAGGCTGATGTTGCTGTTGTTGTTGTGGTGGTCTATTAGATGGCCCAGCTTCATTCCTCCATCCATAACCTTGGTTGTTATTGTTGCTTCTCCAACCTTGATTTCCCTGCATATAATTGTTAGTGTTATAATTACGGGAATTAAAATTACCTCCTTGTTGTTGGTTCCCCACATAGTTGACCTCTTCTTCATTTGGAATTTCTGAACAGTGACCATTGGGATGATCTCCTCCACAAAAATCACAGAATTTGCTTGAGTTGAAGAAGAAGCAATAGCATGAAGCTGTTGTGGAATTTTGGCCATCTGCTTAGTCAATGCTTTAATCTGTTGAGACAGCAGCTTGTTCTGAGCAAGGATTGCATCATTTGTACTTATATCAAGAACTCTTCTTTTATGGGATTGATGTCTTCCATGCTCTGCTTGGTGATCAGAAGATGCCAAAGATTCTATGATTTGAGTAGCTTCTTCTGGACTCACAGTCATCATGGTGCCACCAGCTGTTGCATCCAATAACATCTTCACCTCAGGCTTGATTCCATTAACAAAGAAGTTCAGTTGAGCTATATCTTCAAACCCATGGTTTGGACATTTTCTGAGCAATGACTTAAATCTTTCCCAGGCTTCACAAAATGGTTCATCTGCACCTTGCCTGAAAGTAGTAATTTCTGATTTGGCCTTAATATACTTGGATGAAGGATATAATCTATTCACAAACTTTTTTTCCACATCACCCCAGCTTGTCAAACTTTGATTCGGGTGAGATTGTAACCAAACTTTAGCTTTTCCTGTTAAAGAGAATGGAAACAACCTCAAGTATACAACTTCCTCATCACCTTCAGGAATTCCCATTGTTCCACATAACTCATAGAAATTTGAAAGGTGTGAATATGGGTCCTCATGATCAAGGCCAACAAATTGTTGTGAGCTAACCAAAGTAAGGAAAGTAGGCTTCATCTCCATGGCTC